TTTTACCTGTCATATACTTCCGTTATCAATTATTTTCCTATAGCTACAATTTCTCAGATCCCATTTCCTATAAATGTATTTGGCTAATACATATGGAAATGTAATTGGGTGTTCTATTTCTAGTTGACCTTAACTTCTAGCATACATGTTCATGGATTTTTCAATGCTTTATTTGCCCCTTTGTATGCGGGTTCCACGGTGAGTCTCTTACATTTAAGTTTGCAGCTATGAGATTCTTTTTAGATTTTAAATGGATCTTTTATGCTTCTGTTCTCCTTATAGTAAAACTCTATCTATTTGAAAGGTTGAATTTATGCCGAAATTCAGTGTGAGGGGGATCTGGCAGAGATGGCGTGAATCTTATCCAAAGGATGAAAGTAAAGCAGGTGACGCTATAACTGTGTTTACTGGAGTAAGTGGGATTTTTAATATCATCGATTAGTGAATTGTTGTTTGCATGTGCTACCTGATTATGGTCTCTCTTCGAGTCTTGCAAAATGGATAGATGGGCAGTGTATCGATTTGCTAATCTTTCCCCTGATTCTATGATATTAAGAGTGATTCTTCAGAATATGGCATTTTGACATTGGGTTTCCTGTTAATTACGAGGTAGTAGTACCTTTTTAGTGCAGATTTTTGCTCGGGAACCTCCAGCACTCTAGATTAATACAGCTGTTGTATATGACATATTACTTCCTTTCATTTTTTGGATTGTTTATCCTATATTTAACTAATCAATCTGAAAGAACTCAAATCATTTTGCCTCACATAGGTTCCAACCATGTATACACGTCTAATACAAGGGTATGAAGCTATGGATCCAGAATCACAAGCTGCATCTGCTTCAGCAGCTAGACAGTTGCGTCTCATGGTAATTAGCCTGATATCCTTTTTCCTGGTGATGCCTCAAGGGAAAATATCCTTATAGAATTTGGAATCATTAAATATGTTAGTGTGTGATCTTTTATGTTCTATCAGATCAATGTTATTATAAGAAACATTTATTCAGTAGATTTCCTATGATGTTTTCCGGTAAGGTTGGTGAGGTGGACTGGACGGTATTAAACAATATTGAGGAAGAAGAAACCTAAAATCTTATCTATTTTACTGTCCAGACCTCTCCAATTCTACGTTATTAGTCTTTTCCCCCACCAAATCTTTAAACTGTAAGGCTGTCTGATTGTCAGATGTGTGGCTCCTCTGCCCTCCCGCTTCCAATTATGCAACAGTGGGAAAGTATCACTGGCCATCGCCTTCTGGAACGATATGGCATGACTGAGGTATGCGTTTTCATCCATGCAAAGAACATGTCTGCATCATGAATGGAGCTTTCATGTGCAATCTTGACGAGCAAATTTCATGATTTATGTCAATGGCCCAATATATCTAGTTTGTCATGGCGTTGTCTAATCCCCTAATTGGTGAGCGGAAAGGAGGCACTGTTGGCAAGCCACTTCCTTATGTGCAGGTTAGTTAATTTTCAGTCGAGACAGCATTTGAAAGGCTGTACTTCTTATGAATAATGTTTCTATACGTTCCGAGTATTCTACTGAAATTCTTTACTTTTAATGAGAACATAGTTTATTAACGACGAGGATACACTTTGCTGCATATTCACTATTTTCTTTCTTTATTAATTAAGAGAGTAATGAGGAACAACATTTGAAAAATAAAGCGTTCGATGCTTTTTAAAATATCTGAGTTGACATGAAAAATTATATTCTTTTAGGTGCCCAAATATACTAGTAGGATAGGCACCATTCACCATGCAGAACTTAGTAAACATATCATTTCTTGTGATAGGCCAAGATCCTTGCAGAAGATGGGAGTAGAGAAGTGGAGGTAGGCGAGCTCTGCATTAAAAGCCCTTCACTGTTCAGGGAATATTGGAAGCTTCCTGAGGTATTTTCAATATCAGTGCGGATAAGTGTACTATCAGAAAAGTTTCCTATTGGATTAGTTTAGCAGCTCATAGTCCCTTTTTCTTTAGTCATAACAATTATTTTACTTTTGAAAGATTTCAAGTCAATATTTTTCAGAATTGTGAAGTTGCAGCTTTCTTAACTTTGACATATGAAGTTATGGATATTTGTTAGGTAACTAAGGAGTCGTTTATTAACGATGGATTCTTCAAAACTGGAGATGCTGCTAGATTGGATGAAGACGGATACTATGTCATTTTAGGACGTAAGCATGTTTAAATTCTCTAAGCTGTTACTAATAATGAATTTGTTATGGTTGTCATAGTTTCTTATGTGGCTAACTCGAGATACTTGGAGCATGTTTAACTAACTTTCAGTACTTTTTCGCCTAATTTGAGTTGCTTAGATGCTCGAATTAGCATTTGTTATTCGAAAATACTTGCTATACGTTCTCCTAAAAGTTTTGAGTTGCTTGATGACTCGTTTTTCTTATTCATCCCAAATTCCTACTTAAACAAATATCTGTGTTTACTACATTCCAACTATTTTCTCATTATCCAGGTACTAATGCCGATATTATGAAGGTTGGCGGGTACAAGTTATCTGCGCTAGAAATTGAATCGGTTCTTTTAGAGGTTTGTTTCTTGTCTTCCCTGTATAGTTGATCTACTTAAAATGAGAATTATAGATATGAAATATACTTGTACTCTGTTCTTCTTGTTACTCTATGGAAGACGTTCTATATAAGGAGAAAATGAGTGATCATACAAATATCAATTGATTTTAATCAACTTTATTTTCTATAGCATCCGGCTATTTCAGAGTGTTGCGTGTTGGGATTGCCTGACAAGGACTATGGCGAAGCTGTGTGTGCAATAGTTGTAGCTGAGGCAGAGATTCAGAGAAAACGAGAGGTAGAATCAAAGCCTGCTCTAACTTTGGAAGAACTCACCACGTGGGCTAAAGAGAAACTTGCACCATACAAGGTATGTCTTGCCTTCTTTATGTGGAACCATAATGCTAAGAAACTTATCAAAATACAACTATTCTAAGATAGTTCTCAAGTTTCAGTTTATATTTGAACTAAGATTCCCCAAAAAGCAACTCTTGAAAAATCTTTAGTGGAAGTAACTTTTAACCTTAGCCAAACATGATTCAACGCTTGTTTTTTATGTTTATACTGCTGCACAACTCACCCCACCACACCTCTTCGTTTTCCAGCTACCAACACATTTGTTGCTATGGGAGTCGCTGCCACGTAATGCTATGGGAAAGGTGATTTAACTAAACCTCTTCTCTTTATTCTCCCATGGGGTATTTTTCGACTCAATATGTCATTACTAGAAAATGTTTGGATGGTTTTCGATTTGTGATTTCAGGTGAACAAGAAAGAGCTGAAGAAAAAGCTAGCAGATGATAAACAATGAGGACATCGTCCGTGCGTAGTATTGGAAACGAACTGACAATATAATAACTTAAATTTAGCTTCTTTTTCTTCTTTAATGTTGTCCACTCGAGTCTAGGGTGGGTGGGTCGGAGGGTCAGTAAACAATAATATTATTGCTAGATTGAGGCAAAGTGTTTTAAGTAAATTGTTTTGAATTGCAAACTGAATCATAAGTTCAATTATTATTAATTTGAAATAATTGGGAATTATGTTTCTTTGAGTTTTGTACATGGAGCTTAATTAAAATGTCTGCAATTGTATCTCCTGGCATTAGTAGACAAAGTTGGTCCTGTTAAATCTGATGAAGGGATTTATGTTAGGAAAACAGGGACAAATTTTTTAATGCTGAGTATGGTTTCTGCGTTTTAGGTGCAGTATGGAATTTGGTTCGAAAGGATTTATTTTATTTTATTTTTATTTTTTTAATACTGTTTATAATTGTACAATTGACTCTACTAAACAAGTAAATAGAGTTTTAATTGACAAAATCTAGAAGAACAAATTGAAATTTAATGTCATTGTAAAGGATTTGATTTCAAATATCAAACTACTCAAGACATCATTTTACTTACGATACCCACTGCAATAGCATTATAAACTTTAGTATTACTCTTGCTTCCATTGCAAAAAAGCTCGTATATAGGACATTTAAAGAAGTTTAACATCTTTCTTTGTAAAGCAGATAATTGAAAATACCCAAAAAATTTCGAGAATAGGCGGCAATCGCCGAACATTAATTATCGCAAATAACTCCGTATCATTACAAGTCGACAAAAAAATTTATAAAACGAGAACTTATATGTCAATTTAAAGAAATTGTACTTCTTTATACACTTTGTTGATTAAATGCTAATTGCGTCATCTATGAAAATGACATTTGGTTGTTACTTAGGATTTGTCTGGTAGAACTTTTTCTCCTCAATTATTAGCACTTTTTTGATCGTTTAAATGTCAGGAGGGACCCAATGTGAGTGCAAATGTCAACAAAGATGGCTGGTTTTGACTTGCATCGGTTCAAAAATTGATTATTCCCCCCTGAAAAGCTGCTCTAGATAAGTTCTTAATTTCGCTTTACGAGACTTGTTATAGAAAATTTAAAATTGTTTCGAGTATGACAAGAGAGTTATTATCTTCCCTCTTGCGCAATGTTACAGTTTGATTGATCATCGAGGTTTTTGCTAGACTAGAAACCTCGATTTTTTGTTCGTAAGTTAAAAATATTTTGGTGGATGAATCCATGTACGACCATTCATTTCATAAACTAATGAGTTCCAACCTTGACGAGTTTGTCGATATGTCCGAGTGGCTAAGGAGACAAACTCGAAATCTGTTGTGGTTCGAATCCTGCTGTCGACGCTTTTCTCTTGGCCTTTAAATCTGTTGGGCTAGCTATGCCTACTGATAAATTCTTCTTTTTATAAATTATCAAAAATTCGAGAATTGCTTTCTGACGTGAGACGGCGTCGTTTAGAATGATTTTATATTAATTTCATTTGATGAAGGCCAAAAGTCCGGTATCACAATTCAACCGAACCGCAAGACCAGAGGAGGAGAAAATGGCCGCCGATTTGTGAACAGAAATGAATACCCTAAAATTTTGCAATTTATTTCATAACTATAATCTGTAAGAAATGGAAAGACAAACCCTAGCTTCGTCATCTTCATCAACCAGTGGAATTTCAATAATTTCTCCTCCACCAGAAGATGCGTGGATTACTACTTATCAAAAGCTACGCCCTCAGGGGCAATCTCTGTCTTCTTCTAATCAGGTTCTGCCCCTTCTTTTTATGCTCCATTTGCTTTGTTTATTTTTTCGCACAAAATATAACCATAACATGTAATAAAATGCATGGAATCAATTGCCATAATAAAAATGGAATTTCAAGTATGAGCTACATGCTTGCTTTCTGCAGTGAATTTATATTTTTGTAGATTATTCTAATTCAATCTGGTTGCAGTTGTTAGGGTTTCAGTTTGATTGGTAATTGTTAAACTCGTTTTGTGTTGTATTTCCTTACAAATTGAGTGCAATTTTGTGTCAACCTTCATAATGATATGTTTCTGCTTTAATTGTTGGATGCTCATTTAGTAGAAGAACTGTGTAATGTGTTATTTAAGCTAATGCAGCTTTTTCTCCACGGCTACTAATTTTTTTCAAGTGAATTCATTGTAAAAATAGAAAGTACATATTAGTTACAGTTGCATTAAGAAGTATGGAAATAAAATTTCTCAATGCCCATACTAGTTGAACAGTCATTTTCTGTCAAAGAATTTAAACCTGTTCTGTAATGGTTAGGTGGTGGTGTTCATGAGAATTATTTGCTTTAAACCCCCCCCCTTCCAGCCATCACACACACTCACACGAGTGAAGGTGGAATTGGAATTCCCCAAATCTTAATATTCTTCAATATTGCTGTAATCGCTTCTCTTAACGGGTCTCTTTGACAGACAGTGATCCCAATTGAAGTATCCAGAGTTAATCAGTTTGATGCTGCGAGGCTGGATATTGAAATGTCAGCTATGCTAAAAGAACAGTTGGTTAAAATCTTTTCTTTGATGAAGGTAATATCATAACTTTTTAGCTAACCCAGAAAATGTTTCATATCTTTGGATTTTGAAGTCATTTAATTTGTGTGTTCCATTTCATGGGATTAGCCAGGAATGTTGTTTCAATATGAACCTGAACTCGATGCTTTTCTTGAATTTCTCATATGGAGATTTTCCATCTGGTTCGATAAGCCTACTCCTGGTAACGCTCTTATGAATTTGAGATATAGAGATGAACATGCAGTTGAAGCTAGAGGAAAAGGTTAGCAATTCGTGACGTGTTATCTTTGCTAACTGTTAACTTATGATTATACAAAACCTTCATGTTATAATATGTAGAATCTAATTTTGGTTATTTATAAATTCTAAAATAATGCCCAATTAAGTGTGTAGACATGTTAGTGATTCATCTTAGTAAGTGATGACTGTAGATAATGTTCACAAGTCAGTTACATTTTTAAGAAAATTGCCTTAAACAGCTTGTAAGTTATAAGAAATTGAGAGCCACAAGAACATATTCTATTTACTAGATACAATAATACGAGTTATCTTCCTTTGACTATGAGATATTCAACATATATTTGTGCAACGTGTTCTTGCAAATGATACGAAAGAAAATTCATTTTAGGAATATTTTAGAGAGGAATGGCAGCATGAACCCATTCTCTTAGATCAGGCTTATGTTACATGAGCTTAATGAAGGCGAAATCTCTAGTATAATTACCATTATATGTGTTGCCGTTACTCTATAACCTACTTCTAAGATTTGCTAGTGTATCAGAAGGTGAGATAGCAGGAGAGAGATTCAGAATTGGTCTTTTTCTCCCATATGGCCTTCTAAGATAGTTATTCTTGCCATAATTATCCCCAACTGTCAATATGTAGACCTTCTAATCCTTGCCTGGCTTTATTATCTCCCCTTCTGATACAAACAATATGTCGTTTATTAAGCTCTGGATCTCCTATTTTTTTCAATATCTATGTTCCTTTTGCAGTCAGGACGGGGTTAGAGGGACCAGGGCTGACTATTTTTCAGAAGATCTGTTACTGTATTTCTACAGTTGGTGGACAATATATTTGGGCCCGTCTACAATTATTTTCTGCTTTTCGTAGATGGGGTGATACTGAGCAGGTATCGTTCTGCAAAAGGAAATCCAGTTAATCTCTCTCTCTTTCCATTGTATGAGAACGTAATGCATATACATATAGTACACGTGTACATGTCATCTATATCTCTATAAATGTTAATAAGCACATACAACGTACATAGGAGTGAGTTGAGTCACCATATTCTCTGTCTGCTTTCGTCAGAGATCACTGGCACGTCGGGCATGGTTTCTAATGCAGTGTATAGAAGGATTTTATAAAGCTGCATCATTTGGAAACCTACTCATATTTTTCTTGACAGGAAGGTATATTCTTTTATGATCAAGACTCTATTCTTTATATATCTCGAGCATGTGTTTGTAAAGGACTGTTCTTTGAATAGTTGATGTCAGGAAATGTCAAATGCTTGCATAGACCTCCATGTAAAAATTACATTAAGTTTTTGAGGTTGATCAACAAGCATTTGGTGCATGTTGAATGAGCATTTATATTTTTGCTGATGTTGTAGTTGCGTCGGAAATTCTCAGATGGTATGGCCTTGAATGGCTATGCGTTATGTTTAGATGTTCGTTTCATGCAATAATAATAAGAAACCAAAAGTACTTAGTCCCTGTTGAATCTTTGCCTGCTATATTCAAGTTATGTGTAGTTAGCTAAAACTAGCAGCTGCTAGGACTTTGAGTGCATAGATGAGATGGATTATAATAGAAGACACAAATACAGGTTTTTCTCATGATTTGATTTGCTGCCATACGTCTAATGGATAGGATTTTTTATGTGAAAAAATTGTTAGACTAGCCAGGATTGGAAACAAGGCTTTACCAATTGAATCGCTCTTCTCACAAGTGCAGATATAGAAGTCTTATTGAGAGAGTATTGCGGGCTGGACTTGTCTATGGAAGTCCTAATATGAATCGAGCTGTTAGCTTTGAGTACATGAATCGTCAATTGGTGTGGAATGAATTTTCGGTAACTTCCTTGACCTTATGGCATAAAGTAGCTGACTTGGAAAACCTTCAACTATGTGTGCGTGCATATGCTTATACGTGTTTGTATGTGTTCACAAGCCTTCAAAAATGGAAGTCAAGTAGAAGTTTTTAACTCATTTTATATGCTCTGATCTAAGTTGTAATGAATTAATGACGGGAGTGCACTTCTTTGGTTGTCGCAGCCAACAATTAAGAGCTTTGTGCAAAAACAAGCTCTCTTATAAAGAGTTGATATCATTGTATTTAGACCAAAAACTGGTCATTCCTAAATGTAAGATGCAACTTCCTTTATTGTCTCTTCCCTCTTCTTCAGGGCAATTTTAGCCTTTCTGACAACTTTATGCACTAGCCAAATGGCAAACCTGAATGTGTGTTACTTTGTCGCTGATGAATGTAAACTGAAGCTGGAGTTAGTGCAGGAAATGTTACTGTTGCTGCTTCCTCTTCTCAATTCATCATCTGTTAAAAAAATTCTCCGTCCCTTCTCGAAGGATAATTCTTCAAATTTAGAGGGTGATGAAGCTTTATGTCCCATCTGCGAGGCAACTCCAACCACCCCATTCGTAGCTCTTCCATGTCATCACAGGTACTTTATGTGGACAATATGTGTTTTAGATTTGCTCTCAAGGCGGCCAGGATTTAACATAAATAGTGGCAAGCATTAAATGTTTTTTCTTAGAACTGATATGCTGATGTAAAACTTGCTGATAGGTACTGCTACTACTGTCTTCGAACACGGTGTTCTGCAAATATGTCATTTCGGTGTTCCAGGTGTAGTGAGCCCGTCGTTGCTATGCAACGACATTGGGGTTCTGCCGGCAACATTGTTACTCAGAAAGAATGATTGTTATATGATAAAGCTAAGGCAAACTCAAGTTTAACTATGTACAAAAATTGGTTGATTTTAGCATTATTATTTTATTAGGAAACAAGATCTTATTTTCAACTCCGTCAAATTCTTCTCTTTCATATCTATATGAGAATTCGAGTTTGTTGTTTTCAATGTAACCTTAAATGGAGGTGTCAAGATAACGCAATTCAACTTCGTGAAACACAAATTGAAATTTATTCTTGGTAAAATTTTTATCCAAGGACGCGGAAGCAATTGTTCTTCGTTATGTACTTATTTTTTGCTATTAAAAATGGTTCTTGTCATTATGTTCCTCATCGTAGCAATGTGGTTGCTCGTAATCTTGTTTTCTTTGCTATTTCTTTTCCAATGAGCTCTCATTTTTATCTCACCGTTTGTTTCGCGGCAATGTAGTTGATTGAAATCTGCTATTTTCCCTTCAAAAAAATTTCAAATATTTAATATTTTAAATCACATACTGAACACTTGTTTGTAATATATTATTGAAATTATATCATGATGAAATATTGTGAAAGAATTTATATGAGAAGTTGATAATCAGTGTTCTATTAGATAATTTAATGCATAATGCCCCAAGTACACGGGAATTAATTCCAGGGGCCTTACAGGCCCCTCACAAGATGCCAACCCCACATGTAATTTTAAAAAAAAAAATGTGCGGGCCCACCTATGTGTGTGGCCTGTAAATTGTCTATGAAGATTCCACTTGTACTTCAAGCATTGCTCTAATTTAATTACTACAGATATTAATAACTTTTCATTATGAAAACATTATACTAATGAGTTCATGCCAAAGAGGAAAAAGCCTCCTACAGATGTTGTCGTGGCAAGATTTGATTCGTCTGTTTTTTTTTTTTTTTATTTCCATCCTCCAATAAATTCTCGTCATGTCTTGTCCGTAAAAATTTTCTATCAATGTTTTCTGTGCATGTAGCATGATTGCTAAAAAGTAAAGCAAAAGATTCCTCCAATAAAAAGTAATGTTTTCTATCTATATCCAGCCGGCTAATTTCCATTAGTAAACCCTAATTAAGCCAATTATTAATGTAAATCAAATGTTATTCCTATCTACAAACTTATAAATGATCAACCATTTCATTGCCTGGTCACGATATCCCAATAGCCATACAATCATGATATATGTAAATATTTTTTACACTTTATTTCGTGACGACACATCATTGAACAATTTAATAAAAAAAAAAACTATTTTTCCTCCCATCCCTTTTAATAACAGTCAAACTTCATGTACCTCTTAACATTTTTGATAGCCATATTATTGTCCACTTTCTAGACGCTTCTACGACACCATGTTAGTGACAGCTAGGATTTTCAAAAATGATTGGATATGAATGGATTTATTATATGTTGATAATATTCCTTTATTCAATAATTGTTTAAGTCATTCCTTTTATCTTGTAAAATGGCAAAAAGCATGTTCTATGGAAATAAACTCGTGAATGGATTAAATAAATTCCAATATTATTATATTTGTGTATTCTCTTTCTCTATATATATGTGACAGAAAGTTTTGTTCGTGTCATTAGAAAAACATAGTCCAATATTCTTTTCATCAAGAAAAATTTCTTGAGCGCTAATCATCAAAATGCCTGGAATTGCTTTCGGAAGATTTGACGATTCATTTAGCATTGGCTCATTGAAAGCCTATGTAGCTGAATTCATATCCACCTTGCTCTTCGTCTTCGCCGGAGTGGGCTCCGCCATTGCTTACAGTTAGTAGTAAAACCACGTTCTTATTTTTCACAACCTATATATGCGTGGATGAAAACTGGAGTAAGTACGATATACGATATGCTGATATATTTTGATCGTTGATAAACAAGTTGACAGCGGACGTGGCCCTTGATCCGGCGGGGCTGGTGGTGGTGGCTTTTTGCCATGGTTTCGCTCTGTTTGTAGCCATTTTGGTTGGAGCCAACATTTCCGGCGGCCATGTAAACCTTGCAGTCACCTTTGGTTTGGCTCTAGGCGGCCAAATTACACTTCTTACTGGCCTCTTTTACTGGATTGCTCAACTTTTTGGCTCCATTGTAGCATGCTATTTGCTCCTAGTCGTCACTGGAGGATTGGTAAGTTTAGCTATGTCAACGAGCCGAATCGAATCAAGCCGAGCCGAGCCCGAGCCCAAAAAAAAGCTCAGGCTCGGCTTGAGCTTTTTGGGCCCGAGTTTTGCCCAAAAAAAGGAGGCTCGGCCTGAGCCGTTCAAGTTTTTTTTTTAATTTCAAATCTACATTTTTACTTAAAAAAATTAAAATTTGTACGGTTTTTATGTACTATAAATTAAATAAAAAAGCTCGGGCTCAGTTCGAGCTTTTTGGGGCCTAGCAAATTTAGGCAAAAAAAATGAGGCTCGGTGAAACCGAGCTTGAGTCAAGCCCGACTCGAGCTTTTTCCAAGTCGCCCGAGCGGCGAGTTTTTTTACCATCCCTAGGTAAGTTCAATTGTGCTGAAAATGAAAAATTTACATGTTTAGTAGGTTAGACCAGACACTGTTTTTAATAGTAAAGTCTCGAATTGTATGGTCGAACTGGCTCGATTAGTTCAATTCCTAACCAAATTATATGTGTTTCCATGCAGGCTATTTCAACTCACGGCTATTCCAACTCACGGAGTTGGTGCAGGTGTTGGAGCCATTGAAGGAGTTGTTATGGAAATTGTTATCACTTTTGCTTTAGTCTACACAGTGTATACCATAGCAGCTGACCCAAAGAAGGGCTCATTGGGCACAATTGCCCCAATTGCCATTGGTTTCATTGTTGGTGCCAACATTTTTGCTACTGGTCCATTTTCTGGTGGGTCTATGAACCTTGCCCTCTCTTTCGGATTGACAGTGGCCAGCGACAGCTGTTAAATTCATCAACTTGGAATTGCAAAATAGAAGATAATTTGATGAAGATAAAGAGGAAGAAAATATTATTCCAGCTTGATAAAATCTGTGATACATTACATCATTTATAGGCAAAGGATGCCAATTGAATTAACGGAAATAACAGTAAACTTAACTAACTAAATGAACTAATCAACTGATTTAACTGATTCTCCAACTTCTTCTGGTGTTGTTCGTTTTGCTGCTATTGCTGTATTGTAAGAGCCCCCTTCAAGAGGGACATGGATGTTCAAAATGCCCATCTTAAAGATATGTGTATGAAATAATGCTTATCCAAGGGGTTTAGTGAAAACGTGTGCTAGTTGGTGATGAGAAGGAAAGTGGATGATTTTGATAAACCTGAATGTAACTTTTCTCAAATGAGATGGTAGTCGATTTGAGTATGTTTGGTCCTTTCATGATGCACAAGATTTGTAGCAATTGAAAGAGTTGATTTGCTATATGTGTATAAGAGTGCAGGTTAAGGATGAGTGGTAGTCAAATCATTGAGAAGATGGAGTAACCATTGGATTTCACAGGTTGTGGATGCTAAAGCTCTATACTCAGCCTCAGCCGAAGATCTGCTAACGATAGTCTACTTCGTCTTTTGTCAATGCAGCCAGCCCAATCACTGTCACTGTAGGCTTTGAGGCGTAAATCAGATTTGGAAGGAAAGAATAAGCATTGACCTGGTGTAGCTTTAATGTATCTAAGGACTCTATGAGCAGCATTTAGATGAGATTGGGCTGGTTTGGACATGAATTGGCTTAGAACTTGTATAGAGTAAGCCAGGTCAGGTCTTGTAATGGTGAGATATATTAATCTACCAATGAGCTTCTATAGACTGATGGTTCAGAAATGAGGTTAGCATCTTCTGTTTTGAGCTTGAAAGTAGATTCCATAGGAAATGTCACTGATTTGCAACCAATGAAGCCAGAATCTTCAAGGATGTCTAAGGCATATTTTCTTTGACAGAGATTGATTCCATACTTTGAACTAGCAACCTCCAAGACAAAATGTATTTTAGTTCACCAAGATCTTTGATAGTGAATTGATCATCCTAGAAATGTTTAAGAGATTCAATTTCATGAAGATTGTTACCTGCAATAAGAATGTCATCAACATAAATGAAGAAAACAATGAAAGAATCACTGGTAGATTTCAGGAATAAAGACGAATCGGACTTTGATTTGATAAAACCATATAAGATAAGGCTAGAAGTGAGTTTAGCAAACCACTAACGAGATGCTTGTTTGAGGCCATATAGACTTTTATTTAGCTTACAAACAAATTAGGGATCAGGTCTGGGATATCCTGGGGTAGCTCCATGTATACTTCTTCATGTAAATCACCATGAAGAAAAGCATTGTTAACATCCAACTGGTGCAAAAACCAATTGTTCACTACTGCAACAGCCAAAAGGACTCGGACTAAAGTCAATTTTGCAACAGGTGAGAATGTATCAAAAAAATCTAGGCCCTCTTGTTGAGTATATCATTTGGAAACTAGCCGTACCTTGTATCTTTCCACAGTACCACCTGCTTTGAATTTAACTTTGTAAATCCACTTGCAACCAATGGTGTGTTTTTTAGGTGGCAGATGAGTGAGGGTCTAAGTATTATTCTTTTTAAGAGCCTGGATTTCACAATTCATGACAGCTGCCAATGTGGAAATTTGATAACTTGGCCATAAAACTTTGGTTCAAAAACATTTGAAATAGAGGTAGCAAAGGCCTTGTGTTTGGGGGAAAGTCTATCAGTAGAGATAAAGTGAGAAAGGGAGAAAGGTTTACCTAAAGCAGATGGACTAGCCATCATTATGGACGACTGTATTACAGTGGAAGAAGATGGTAAATCACAGTGATAATCATCCAGATATGAGGGTTGATGCTTTGCTCTGCTTGCTTTTCTGGAGGGGGTTGAGTATGAAGTAAGCTATTTTCTGGCGAGGAAATAGGGGAGGCATGATCAGGCATTGGATTAGTGTCAACTTGGGTCATGTTGTTGTTGTTGTTGTCTGCTAATTGGTTTATTGCTGGTGAATGCGGATAGTAATAGTCAAAGTGTGCTTCACAAATAGAAAATAATCATCTAGATATGAAGGTTGATGCTTTGCTCTGCTTGATTTTCTGGGAGAGGGTTGAGTATGAGGTAAGTTATTTTCTGGCGAGGAAATCGGGGAGGCATGATCAAGCATTGTCAACTTAGGTCATGTTGTTGCTGTTGTCTGCTAATTTGTTTATTGCTGGTGAATGCGGATAGGAATAGTCAAAGTGTGCTTCAGAAATAGAAAATATACGAGTTTCTGTTGCATATTGAGGTGGGAATTTTTTGTAAGGAAAAGAAGATTCATGAAAGACAACATTTCTATTAACAAAAGTTCTGTGATTTTCTAGATCATATACTTTATATCCTTTGTATCCATGGGGATAACCAAGGAATACACACCTGAAGGCACAAGGAGAGAACTTAGTTCTATGATTGCTGAGTGTGCTGGTGAAACATAGGCAACTGAATGTTTTGAGATGATCATAGTCAAGTTGTTTTTGGAAGAGTAGCTCATAAGGAGTTTTGTTGTTAAGAATTGGGGATGAGATTCAGTTAATGATGTGAACTGCTGTTAGTATGTAGTCACTCCAGAAGATGAGAGGGATATTCGACTGGAAAAAAAGGGCCCTGGCTACTTGTAGGATGTATTGATGTTTTCTCTCCATAATTTCATTTTGTTGTGGTGATTCAACACAACTTTTTTGATGAAGGATTCCATTAGTAGTATAGAATTCTGAAATCAGAAATTCAGCACCATTGTCGGTTCTAAAGGTCTTTATTTTGGTATTAAAGTGTGTAATGACCATTTGATAGAAGTTCTTTATGTGACTACGAGTTTTAGACTTAGATTGCATCATGAAAGCCCAAGTGCATCTAGAATAATCATCAACTATTGTGAGGAAGAATCTGTAACCATTAAAAGAAAGCATATGAAAAGGACCCCAAATTTCGCAATGAACTAAATCAAAGGTCTTATTTGATATTGAAGTACTAATTGGAAAGGGTAGTTTCTTTTGCTTTGCTAGGGGACAAATTTCACATTTATGTGAATTTTTACAAAGAAAATGAGAGTGAATACATGTAATTTTAGACATTCTTGTATTGGAAATATGTCCAAGTCTGCAATGCCAGAGATTAGAGTTGATTTGAGCTAAGGTATTTACTGCTGTTGGGCTAATTGTGACAGGAAGCGGTGCTGTTTGGTTTTGATCAATCACGCAGTGATATAACCCATCTTTTTCTTTAGCAAAACCAGTCATCTTCATGTTGGCTAGATCCTGGATAAAGCAATGAGAGGTAGAGAAAATTACATGAATATTAGAGAATTTGGTTAGTTTAGAGACCGATATCAAGTTAAATGAAAAAGAAGGAACACATAGAACATTTTCAAGAATAAGACTATCAGAACTTTTAAAATTTCCAATATAGTTGACTGGGACAGAAGCACCATTTGGTAAGTGAACTTTGGTGGATGTGGCTGAGTCAATAGAATTTTAGAATGCAGGTGAAAATACCATATGATTTGTTGCACATGTGTCAATTATCCAGGTAATGGTTTTTAACTTGGAACATGTTGTATTACAAAAAGAAATACATGTGGTGATGGTGGCTGCTATTTGAGTTGCTGTATTAGGTGATTGAGGAGATGTTTGGTGAGTTTTAGCGAATGCCAAGAATTGTTGAAATAGCTCTTGATTGAATGAATTTCTCGGTCCCTCATCTTCTGCGGATCGTTCCAAACAGTTAAAGTTCTTGGACCTCTAGGCCCTTTCCAGCCAGAAGGATATCCTATTAGTTGATAACATTTATCAGCAGTGTGATTGAGATATCCACAATGGGTACACTTTGGTATCTTCTTGTCCTTCCAATAGGTGTTTTATTGAATGTTCTATGAGGTTATCTTGCTGTCATGGCTACTGATTCTGATGATGAATAAGTCTGCGAATCCCTTTGACTCTCTTCTTGAAGCATAAGAGCATAAACTCGAGCCAATGATGGAAGTGGAGAAGCCAACAACAATTAGCTTCTAAGTGGAAAATAGGATTCATTCAACCCAATAAGAAACTTCATAACAGCATTGGATTGCTGGATGTTCGATATATTTTTCAATATATCACATGTACAACTAGAGAGTATCCTACAATTGCACTTAGGCATGGGTTTGTAACTGATATATTCTTCCCAGATGGCTTTGAAAGAATTGTAATATAGAGTAAGACTTTGTAGAAGAGATGTATAGCAGACTTTGGCGAATATCTTTGCAATATCCAAGATAGAACTAGGTTATTTGCACGCACCTAGCAATTGTATACAACACCAGATGATGGGCTTGGAGCTTCCAAAGATCCATCAATGAAACCTAATTTATTTTTGACACTCAACGCCATAGAGATTGAACGGCTCCAAGGGGTATAATTATATCCATTGAAGATTTTGGACACAATCAGTGCACTAGGATTGTCGCTGGGATGTAGATAGTAAATGGCTGGTCAGATCATCAATAGGATTGAAAAGGGAATTGATTTGGTTCGTCATATTGCGAGTGAAATGTTGATGAATGAATAAGAGAATTTGCTAAAGCTTTGATACCATGTTAAATTCATCAACTCGGAAATGCAAAATAGAAGATAATATGATGAAGATAAAGAGGAAGAAAATATTATTCCAGCTTGATAAAATCTGTGAGACATTACATCATTTATAAGCAAAGAATGCCAACTGAATTAACGAAAATAACAGTAAACTTAATTAACTGGATTAACTAATCAACTGATTTAACTGATTCTCCAACTTTTTCTGGTGCTATTCGTTTTGCTGCTATTGCTGTATTGTAAGAGCAACTTCTCTGGCATTTGGATTTACTGGGTTGGACCCTCATTGGTGGTGGCCTAGCTCATCTATGCCAATGTGTTCATGTCCCACAAGCACGCTCCTCGACCGGCCGACTTCTAAATTATTTCCTTTGTAATTTCGACGTCAAATTGAAAACTTTTTAGTTTGTCTTTTGGTATTAAATGGAAGAAAAGGAAACATTTGCTTTTCTTCCTTTATTTCATTATAATTTCTTTGCTGTAAATCTATTTTCTGTTGTATCGTTGCTTTCTAAAAGATCATTTGAATGACGGCTTTGGTCCCATTTTTCTATAGATGCCTTTTGCACCTTCTTTTGATGCCTTCTTAACATCTTTTGGTGACTAGCTGGTGTAAATCAACTTATTTTAAATTGCCTAGAAAAAAGTAACATGATCAATCTATTGCAATCTTTATCTTTCTTTTTAGTTTTTGAATTAATTAAATATTTCCACCTTTTTTGACAAAAAGGAAGAGTACATCAGGATCCAAAGCAGAAATTTTGATAGTGTAATTTACAATGTCAAATAGTGGTAGTTTCATCTTCTGGGGTTTCTTTTCCATAAACCCAATTATGCCTGATGCTACCAAAAATAGTACTTGTTGACTTCCAAGTTGGATGCCTGAGAATGAGCACGTACGAGGTCTTTCGATACCTGAAAAAAAGGCATTTAGGTATGTCCTCATCGCCCTCCGATGCTTAAGTCAGAGAGAATTTATGAAAGGATATGTGCTGAAAAACTATGTCAAAACATACCTTAATAATGAATTGGAATGATGTAATTATAGAGGAAGGTAGTGCATTCCTAATATGATTGCAATGTTGAGATCCCTAGCAGTTCTACAGTGATTGGAAGTTGCAACTTAATTGGCTTTGTATTACCCACGTGTTTGGACAGAGATAGGACTCTAATGGTAGAATCCTTTTTGGATGAGGTAACATATTAACAGCAAGACTCTGCCTTATTTAGGTTTGGATAAGGCTTGGCAAGAGGGGAGTCCTAATGAGTCAAGGGCTGCTTGGTATGAGGTTTAGCCATGATTTTGAGGAAGGCGTATAACCCAAGAATAGACAATCCTGAGGTGGTCATGAGGCATTTGAGACAAAATGGAAAGCTCATGCTCGGGCACAGTCCTCGAGCTCCACTAAGATCTGTATCATCAATGCCCTTTCCATTCAGGAAGTTTCTAGATTACAACCTGCAAAAATGAGTTTGGTAGCTGAGATTTAAACTTTAGGTGGATTAGGATGAAGGATCAGTTAAATATTGATTACAAAGGAAGAGATACGCGTGAGATGTTTTTCATTATCGTGTCTAAAGCTTAATGCAACAAATATGCACAGAGTGGTGTAAATCAGTTGCATGGGTATTTTTTTCAGAGGGTAATGTCATTCTTATTTTTTTTTTTTTTTCCCTATAATAGAGGTCCACACTTGGTCAGAGTTAAGAAGCTCGGTTTACAGTACATCGCGCCTGTATTATGACAGGCCAAGCTGGGCCGCCCCTGGCTACTTTTACAAATGTAAAGAATGATCATTATGTAGAAATTATAGAAAATGATTGTAAAAAGAGGAATGACAAACCAGGTCTCTTGAATCTGCATTGCCAATAGTGGTTTGACAAGCCAATATCCAATTCTTCAGATTCTGCAATTGCTAAATGAAACAAACTAATTAGCTATTTAGCATGTGAATTGTTGGGCAGTATTGAGAAAGAAAAAAAAAAACTCTATACCCGTTTTATTTTTTATCTTTGTCTGCGCGAGGAGTCAATAGTTTGTTTCCTTCGACCACCTCAACAAGGCATGTTCCGTAGGTTCCTCCTCCCCCACAATTTAGCAGAGGTCTAGCCTGAAACTCGAACATAGATCTCGATAAATTTGGATTGGCTACGAGAATCATTTACGCCACCGAAATGGAGTAGGGCTCAGGAAAATTTACATATGGTCCATACAATTCGACGTTGTTGTCCAACATTATGTCCCTAAGTTTCTATCCACCACAGGTTGTTCGATAATGCACGTCCGGTATTCCATCTGGAAGCAAAACAGACTAGGAAAATACACATGAAAATTGACATTGTCCTACTACAATTACGGCTTTCGTTGAACTGGACAGGATTAAATATATAAGAGAGATAAATTCTCTAAAAAAGCACTCATGACCAGGAGGTGTCCAGGCCAAAATGGACACAAACGTGAGAACCAACTGTTTCTCAATTGTTCTGTCCAATTCCATCCAATTTGTCAAACATACCTTAATTACAGCAATCTTGTACATTAAAGGGATGTTTGACGTATTTGATTGTAAGAGTACTAAACAAATCAAACTAGACAACTACGTGAAATGTTTATTTCCTATTTTGTCCAATTCAGCATATCAAACCTATCTTAATGTCACGAAAAGGTTGTTGTTCGTGAACTCGTGCTAACAAATGCAAAATTTACTGCAGCCGCAGTCATTTCTTCTTCTGATATTGCAGTTTTCGATTCACTCTAGCGTATAATTCTAATAGTTGGGATTTTCCCGAAGGAAAAACTGAGATTGTTAAAGCCCTTTAAAGTTCTGTAGGGTGTTATTAGCGTTCTTGAAATTATGGGATGTTGAGAAAGGAGCTAAATTATGAGATTGATTTGAAGTTGCTGACCCCTGAAAATAAGCTAACAGATGTTGGGATCATTTGCGTCAAATCAAGTACAATTTTGGCACGTTCCTACTGGAATGACGACGGTAGCATAGAGGAGATGGACGTGGGAGGTACTTTCGGTGAGAGACAAAGATGTTCAAGCTCCGACGGATGGAACAAAAGCAATAGCACCAACAACGATCGCCCGGTTGAAATCGAACTAATTTATATAATCGCAAACGGGAATATGTAGAAGGATATATATGATATGTATTGAAATTGCTACATCGTGTATAGAAATCTACAACTCATAAGCATACCAAAAAGATAGAAAATAAACCTAAGTGTTTGTATATTTTTCTTCCAAGTTCAAATATGCGTTTCAAATGTATTTTATTGCTTGTTATTCAATCAATAATCCAACCCCTTTTTTAAGTTACAAACAGAACATATTTAGACTACCTTGGCCGACGTGATGATCGTTGGATCAGAACCACGTGGCCTCATCTCCTTAATTGGGATGTCACATTACTGTCTATTCATACAATTAATATATTGATAAGGAGTCAGCCGTTTTATACAATAGGCTGACATACTGACAAACTTTTGTTACAAGTGTCATATTAATCACTTCAGAGATATCTACAAAGAACAGCATCAGCTTGCGAGCTTCGGACGAATTGAGAGCCTCAGAGGAATCTTTGAAGTAGTTCTCTAAGTGGAGAGTCTCAGCTCTTTTTTTTTTTGTTTCCTTAGGCAACTTCGTCTTTGAGGTAGTGCCTCAACCTGGACTTCGTCCTTGTAGTGTAAGGACTTCAGCCACAGTGTGAGGGCTTCAGCCTAGTTTGCCTTCTTCGTGTTTTGAACTCGTGGATCTTTATTTGACTTTCTTGTTGACCTTCTGCATACGTGACTTGCTACATGGCATCCTTTCTTTGGGTTTCGGAGGCGAGGAGTAACATAAGTATTCCCATTTTTTTGGATGAAAAAAGTGCACTTTTTTTAAGATAGTTTGTATCTATTTTGCATGGTTCTTCGATGAAAATTTGTGGTTCGTGTTCTTCTTATCTGATGGCTGCTGATGTGTTTGATCGTTTTAGAGCATTTTCAACTTACTCCGAGTCCAACCAAAATCACTCCTTATTCTTACCTTTTAATTAATATCTCTAATAAAGTACATATTTCAATACTTTATTTATTTATTAATTTATTTCAAACATTATTAAATTTAACTTTTTTTTAAATATTGTCATCAATTACGTCGCTCATAAAAGTAGGTTAGCTACCTTCATTTTGTTCTGAAATTCTTTTTCTTCCTGCATCATTTGTGACGAGCGAGAATGGCTCATGCAGCTGCAAAAAAATAAGAATTGATTGTAATTTTGAACTTTCCATGACGCCTCTTAATTGAGAAGATCCAGGAGATCCAATAGTTGGATTGAAGTGGTTAGCTGCGAGTCATGCCTTTAGCAAGGAGCAGTAGCATTCAGTGACGTACTAAGACAATTCAGCAAATACGAAGAAGTGCAATTAACTGGACAAGCAAGCATATATACTCTCTTAATTTCTTATTTCAAGGCAGGTGAGAAAACGATTTCCATTTATAAGAACAATATCCCGGAGCAACTTAAAGAGATAGAAATCCATAGATGGAAAAAAAATTATTTGCGCTCTTATCCTACCACAAGCTAGATTTTGCTGTTTATGACAGTCACTACAAGAAAAATACGAAGAATATGAAATCTCAGGATTCTATTCAAAACCCGCTAAGCATTCCCAATACTGCCAATATTTTTCAATGACACCTCACAATACATAAATCAAGCAGTGAATATCGCCGAATTTATCATCCAACTATTACAATTCCCACATGCAGCAGCAGCAACTAGTAACCATAACCTGATCGAAGCAATAGTTGGAAATAATTTAGTACACATTTTGATTTGGGCTTGAAAAGTTGGAATAATAAGAGACGGCAACTACCTGAATTGTCCATGGGATTTCCAGCAGGCATGGGTTCAGGCTCCTTGATATCAACAACTACAGCATCAGATGTGAGGAAGGTCCTTGCCACGGAAGCCGCATGCTCCAGGCAACACCTTACAACCTGCATCCCATGTGATTTTATGTTTCTTAAGCAACAGGGTTAAAGTGCTAAATTACAAATTACTTGAACCATATTAATTAAAATTCATACCATTTTGATGTTTAGAAACAAGATGAAGCAGTAAAGGAACTTGCCTTTGTGGGGTCAATTATGCCAGCTGCCATTAGATCCTCGTATGTCCCAGTTGCGGCATTGTAACCATACTTGGGATTATCATTGGCCAACACCTAAGCAACGAATCCCATGTCAATTGAACATAATTCAGATAAAAATTCTGGAGCCATTAATTTTGAACATGGCACGAAACCAGTTGAGTCAAGCCTTACCTTCTCTATCACAACACTTCCATTTACCCCAGCATTCTTGGCTATTAACTTCATTGGATAACTCAATGCTCTCTTAACAATATCTGCTCCAACCTGCAGCCATTCCAATTAATCCTTGTTTAGCAATTATACAAAATCCAGTATCATATCTTCCCAGGATATAATGAAGACCAAGAAAATATGTGCCTCCATTACCTTCTGCTCATCGTTATCTAAGGTATCCTTTACAGCATCAACTTTTGCTGCAAGCCGCAACAGGGTACACCCACCGCCAACCACAATGCCTTCCTCAACAGCTGCCTGTAGCAACCAAGAATTATGAATTTATTTTAATGGGTTGTCACAATGATTTACTATTATAAATTCAGAAAGAATTACAAACTCCAAATAGTAAGTCAGCATGAAAATTCACCTTTGTTGCATTCAGGGCATCTTCTACTCGCAGTTTCTTTTCTTTAAGCTCAGTTTCAGTTTGTGCACCTACCTGAAAATGCATGTACAGGGACAAGAATAGTAAAAAAATAAAAAAGAATAATCTTCTGGACTGCAGTAATTGATCACAAACAATGCCAATCTTAAGTAACCTAGGAATCAAAGATCACCTGAATAACAGCAACACCACCTGAGAGTTTTGCAATTCTTTCATTTAACTTTTCCTTTTCATAATCTTGTTCAGCACTCTGCATCATAGGCCAAGATTTTAGAATGTTTGATGCACAGAGGATTTAACTGAATAAAATGATAATAGGAAAGAAAAACGAAAAGCTAAATTGCACCTCGAACAAGATTTTAGAATTTTGATGCGCAGAGGATTTAACTGAATTAATCATATGAGCAAAGAAAAAGCAAAATTGCACCTCTACGAGGTTTTTAATCTGGGCAACTCTTTTGTTTACTGCCTCTTGTGTGCTCCCATCACCAACAATTGTTGTTGTATCCTTGGTTAGTACCACTTTGGCAGCAAGTCCCAATACCTCACTTCCAGCCGTGTCCAGGGATAAACCAACCTCTTCCCTTATAACGGTACCTGAACACATTTCCAAGAATGTTATTGCAGGGTTAACTTACATTGTTGTGACAACACATAGCTACAATCAGTTGATGAAAGACAACCTCCAGTGAGAATAGCAATGTCATCAAGGTATTGGCTTTTGCGTTCTCCAAATCCAGGGGCTTTGAGTGCAGCAATTTTCAAAGACCCTCTAAGCTTGTTCACGACAAGGGTTGCCAGAGCTTCCTGCTCAATGTCTTCTGCAATTATTAATACTGGATATCCTCCCCTGATAGCATCCTCCAAGATGCTGACTAAATCCCTGGCATTTGTGATCTTTTTGTCAACCAGAAGAAGCTGCATAAAGAGCATTCATCATTTTGGATAAAAGTAAGTCAATATCTTCAATCCAGCATCTATAATAAAAAGGAGATTATCTCGAAGATAACATAACAGAAAAATCTTTTGAGATTAAAAATACCTTGCAATTGTCATATTCGACAGCCATCTTTTCACTATCTGTGACAAAGTACGGAGAAATATAACCACGGTCGAATTGCATGCCTTCAACGACATACAAACTGTTCTCGGAACTTCTCCCTTCTTCAAGAGTCACTACACCTTTTCTGCCCACTTTACTCATAGCTTCTGCAATCATATTTCCCACTTCATAATTGTTTCCGGCACTAACTGCAGCTACATCAGCTAGCTCACTGTCCTCAACCTGCATTTCAATCACAAGAAAATTAGTGAGTCCCACTAACATGAACTCAAAATACCATCCACAAAATGCCAGATGAGAGTTGCCCTTGCTTCAAGGGATAAATACATACAAATCAACAATTTTGTAATCTGTGCAGGAAGATAAGCAGATAGAAGATTCAAGTTTACCTCTTTTGACATTGACTTAAGCTCAGACACCAGGGCTTTAGCTGTCCTCTCAATACCCCTTGTAATTTGAATAGGATTGGCACCCGCTGCCACAACCTGAACAAATCAGCACCAAAATAGTCAACTCACAAACTCTCATTCAAACATAGAAAAATGGAGTATTGTATTTTCGCAAGAGAATGCCCTTAATCTGTACAACCTTAACACCTTCAGTGATGATACCCTGTGCAAGAACAACAGATGTAGTTGTCCCATCACCAGCCAAGTCATTTGTCTTTGAAGCAGCTTGCCTCACCAATTTAGCACCAATATTCTCCACTGGATCTTCCAATTCAACCTACAAAAAACATTTAGATTGCATTGACTTTGAAGTTAAAAATCAAAGCCTTCAAAATAATCATATTGTATCATTCTTATATATTCTTTCAAATGGCCAGTATTATATACCTCTTTTGCTACGGTTACACCGTCGTTAACAATTTTTGGAGAGCCATACTTGCTCTCGAGAACTACATTCCTTCCTTTTGGACCAAGGGTAACACCCACTAAATCTGCAAGCTTGTTAACACCAGCCTGAAATGGAAAGGTAGCAAGAGTAAGGAATTGCAGCATCACAAAACAGGATAAGAACTCAAATCTATTCTACGAAATGAGCCTATCTTGCCAATATAATGTGGTATAACTCACCTGCAGCTTCTTAATTGCAGAACCATCCTTGTTAAAGTGCAACTCCTTGGCCATAGCCTGAACCTTAAGATTACACCTTTTCCGCAGAACTACATTTTTACTCCTCACTCGAGATGCAGAAGAAGATATGGATGCAAACGAAGAGAATGTCTCTGATGTGTTCGCCAATTTTTTATCTGCTATGTAGGCACTGGTCGAAGCAATAGAACCAACAGAAGACAAGGCGGCAAAGGTCGAAGCCATATTCTATAGAAATCTGTAAGACAAGCATAAGCACCAAGCCTTGTGAGCCAAAAAAAAAAAACAATATTTCAAAAGAAATCCGAGATCTAATTGAAACGGTGCACAGAACAGAGGAAAAGAAAATTAGGGAAAAAAACATTTTTTATTCATACTCGTACAAAAATTACAATGTAATTGAAAATTGTTTAACAAAAACACTAGGTAATGCCCAAGTTTTAGTTTTTGTTCTCCTTCACATTTTCTCGTACTTCATTTTCTTTTTATTCCAACAATAGCCAAAAAAAAAAGGAAAAATTCAAGAAATTCTTCACATTTCCATTCCATTTTCCATTCTGTTCATCAAATTCCAAAAACAGAGTAAAAATTCAGAATGTTAATGCTTTCAAATTTATCCAGACAACACTTTTTCCCTCCGCTAGCTATCTTCATCGAACAATGCGATCATGAAAAAGAGCGAGTCCATACAAATTACATGTGTATTGCAGTTAAATGTTAAAAAAAAAATAGTGAAGCAAGCAATTAATTCATTTCTAATGAGATTATACATCTCAAACGAGTAAACTTGCGATTAAATATAGTAATTTAAAGAAGAAATATATTACTTGGCGAATTGCAAGAACCAGGGATTGAAGAATGGCAGAAGAGATACTGCTCGGTAAGGTACAAGTTAAGAGACATGTTAGGGTTTAAGAAGATAAGGTGCTTTGGGAGCTCCGGTAGGAAGGTTCTAGAATATCTTCATTTTTCAGCTCTCCAAAAATAGAACAGCGAAATATATGATGTGTTTGCAACCCACCGTAGTGCGGTAAGGTTCATTGCCACAGCGTTTTGATTGGTTTAAAAATCACAGTCTTCAGGATTTTTACTTTTTTACAGGATTTTTACTTTTTTACCTAGGACTTGTCTGGCCGCGATTAAATTTTAACTGAAAATTGCTTTTCTGTCCATTAAAGCCAGCAACGGTAACAATTCGGCTGCCTTTTCTGTGAAAAATGTCAAAAGCAACGGCACAATAATCAATTTTGGAGAGATGAAAAGCCCTATCAGGGGCTTAAATTTATGTTTCCGAGTCTAAATTATGAGAAAAATGCACTGAATTATGCTCTTAGCAACGCCATCGATAAGAATCAAATTAATTAAAGCCATAGCATAAAAGGCACCTATTATTGGGAATCGGTGATTTATCAACTAAATCCTTACTCTCTTAAAAGATAGGGTTTGAGGTTCACTATTCATTTGGATTTTCTACTCACATATTACTATTCCATATGTGGACAAAAAAAATAAAATAAAAAATTTGGTCGTCATTATTGACTTAATTGATGCCAGTATTTATAAAAAATAAAACAAAACCTACAAACCGACTCAGAATTGCAGTTGATATTTTAGAAATATCACGTACTGGAGAAGCAAACTGATCCCTGGTATATCTTCTAATTCATTCTTCCTCTCAAATCTTCTGACTTCTCACTCTTTCTCTCTCGCCATGAAACTAATGTTCATATTTATTGTAATTGTAATGGTTATATCATTTCACTGGAGTGCATAATTCGATTATTGACTCATTCTGCTAATGATTTTACGTAGTAATGATGTATTTGGATTTTTGTTTAGCCTGATTATTTCAACTACCTCAGTTTCCATGTTTAAATTTCACATGGCATCTCACTTCAGGTTATATTTTCATCACCTTCTTCTACATCATTTTATCACTACCTGTTTTTACATTTTTATATACTTCTTAAGTATATGCCCACTAACTGTTTGGTATTTTGTTTATGAAAGTTGCATTTGATTGCTCATGACGAAACAATTGACCCAATCGAGTGTGTAGCTTTCCTCACGTTGACGACAAATTCGTTTTTGCATATTTACATCCCAGGTAATTAGTTTATTTATTTTTCCTGTATTTGTTCGTGTTCTTATTTTGATGTTTAATGTTGATTTTGCTATGTAGGTTAATTAGTTCGATAAATGAAATATAATAAAATTAATTTTTTGTAACATAATGGTGAATTTTGGAATACAAGGAGTTCTAACGTAATTTATGTGTGAAAATGGAGGGAACTCTTGGATCAGGAGGTGTGTTAAAGAAGAAAAGTTCATCAGGGATTAATGGTGGAATTTGAGGTTGATTAATTTTTATGATTAAAGGTTTTCTTCGGTATGATTTTTTCAATGCCTTATTAAGGCTCGATTATGAATTATTTACTTTCACGATGCATCAGTCAAGCTACGTAAAGTAGTACTCATTTTACTCATTGTGAAATTATTTATAATTAGCTTTTGGACCCATAAGTTCAGAATAAGAATTTGAAAGAGATGGGTTTTAGCCACACTACAGAAATTATGAAGAGTATGAATGTACCAATTAGTAAACCACATATCAAGCTGTTGAAGTACTTTGAAATTGCACTGAGGGGATGATAATCACATTCTGCCATAGTAATAGGTTTATGTTGTTTCATTATCAGAACTCAGGGTTTATAGACTTAATGGGTAATTTTGTCTCTATGTTGCCATCTTTTTCGGTGTCACAAGGAAGAAACAAGACCAGGTAGCAGTAAGTTTTATTTATTTTTTTGTCAAATCAATTTGTATTTAGGAATTTTTTGATGAAAACAGTTTAGTAGCCTATTTAGATTGTCAGGTAAATCTTGATAACAAAGTTTATGTTGACGTGTTTAACCTATTGAACAAAAAAGTTGCTGAGTTGTTTGCTATGTTATGACCTTAAAAATGATTGTGAAAGAAGAGCATATTTTTATAATTAATGTTGGAGGAAGTTATAACTCGTCAATTTAATCCAAATTGGTTCGGTAACTTTAGGCAAGTGTTTCCTCATTTGATTTTTATTTCTCTAAATTACTAATTTTTTGTTATCAGGTCCATATTATACCCTTTGGCGGAGCTACATCACTTGAGGGCCACATGTTATTGGTGGTGTTTGTATTGACATGTCACATATGAAAGTATGAGTACTACTATCAATTGTTTATATTAATGTCTCACTATTATATTTATAAGAGGACCTTCCTTTCCTTTCAACTTCAGAGTAAATCATATTTCTAGCTCGACACGATCTTCGTTCGTTTGTTAATGAGGAACAATATAATGTCAATCATGCTTTTCGTCATGTGAATAATAAAAAAAATTAATTATTAGTAGGTAAGAAGTAGAAAACTGAAGTACTACAACTCACTAAATGCACAGTTACCCAAAATGATGATATAAATATTAATCAAACGCTGCTCTCTATGGTGTACTTCTCCTAGACGTCGTTAGTCAAGAAATTCAGGTTAACATACTAAATTCTGTATATTAGAACCTCCAATTTTTTTTCCTTGCGTAAATCATAATTCTGAATGTGCCATTCCATTCAATAGGTTAAGAAAATGATGTACAATATGTGTGAGTACCAAGTACCATTGTATATACCCGTCATTTGTTTTTGGAAATTACAACCTTGAAGAAATTTTAGAATTTGTAATCTAAGTCTCTATGAAATGTAGGAACTACTGCATATTTTGTATTTAGATTACTTTATTGTCTTGAATCTATTCCAAATTGTAGAAGATTACGACTATCAATAAAATGATGTACAATATGTGTGAGTACCAAGTACCATTGTATATACCCGTCATTTGTTTTTGGAAATTACAACCTTGAAGAAATTTTAGAATTTGTAATCTAAGTCTCAATGAAATGCAGGAACTACTGAATGTTTTGTATTTAGATTACTTTATTGTCTTGAATCTATTCCAAATTGTAGAAGATTAAGACTATCAAATACAAAATTTATAAAATATAAAACGCTAACATCACCTTCAAAATAACACACCCCGTACAATGAACGGGTTAAAACTAATATAATATAAGAGACAAAATGGACCATCATTATTCATTGAGCATTCTACCTCGCACAACACAAAAAATTCCATGGCCAAACATGCTCGAGAAATCTTCTATGTCAAGCTGAGCCAATCCACGAATACACATTTTAATGTTTCACAAATATAAGCCGCCAACCTTTGAAAATAGACGAGGAATTAAAAAAAAAAAAACAAAAAACCAAAAAAAGTAATTCATTAATTTAGATTCAATTAAATGAGTCATATGATTTGCATTTAAATGAATCTATCATTTAATGTAGTTTAATTGTCATTTAGATCGTGCTCCATCCCAATGGGAAGGCATTACTTGTATCTTTCCAAAATCCTCGGAAATGACTTAGCTCTCGTTTGGCTCTCGTCATTTGAAATTTTAATGATTGAAACGGTATTTTTTTTTTTTTTTGAAAAATATGTGGTTAAAAAAGAAGAATTTTTTTTGAAATTATGTGTAATATTTTTTTTTTCAAAAAATGCGTGGTGGATACAAAGAGAATAAAAAATGAATTAGAACGTCAACGGGGCGAACATGGCTTAATTGTCCCCGACCGTTATTCAGGATTATTTCTCTCTTCTTTTTCAACCTAAACAGAAATTTGCAAAACGATTTTTTTTGGAAAAACTGCCATTCCTGTAATTTGAAACCCGCCAAGATTCTTGTTCTTTCGCAGAATTCAAACTCAATTGGGTAAGAGCAGGGACGGACCCAACACCCGGCCAGGGGGCGACAGCAAGTGCTGGGCTCCGCCGGACCGCCGAAGAAGTTTAGGCTGCCGACAACTGCTTTTTTTTTTTTTAATATTAGGATGCCGCCCATTTAATTAGTCTTTTTTATTTTTTTTAATTGGATTGGGCCATTTATCTGGGCCCAATCCTTAATTATATAATAGGGAAAATTTCATTTTCTAGAGAATAAGTTTAGTATATTTCAAAAATAAGAAAACAAGTTAGAAATTTTTAAAATCAGATTTTTATTAAAA